ACTATTTATTTTTCATAAAAATAATCAAATGAATTTTTCTTTGATTATTCTAAAAAAGTATTACAAACTGTTATAGTGTTGTGTTTGTGATTACATATGATAATGTAGCAAATGTTTGTCTCGAACTTCTTATATTTATTTCTCATGTTTAATATGGTAGGTATACAAATTTATTATTTTGCATTTTTAGCCAATAATTTTATTACAAGAACATTCTTTTTTTTCTTTTCAAATTTGTTTTCATATTAAAAAGATACATGTATAACCATATGAAAATATAAGTTGTTAAAAAATTATTTATATTTTATATGATTCTTTTTAGCCAATATTTCTGTATAGAAATTTAACTTACATGAGACAACGTATGTCTAGAAGTCATAAGTCACGACGAGGTTTTAAAATTGACACAATGTTGGAAAAGTTAATGTCAAAAAACAATCAAGAACAAAATCCTGGTATGCGTGGATATATGACTCTTACTTTTCTAGGTTTTTATGATAAAAAAGGTAAATTTGCACAAAATAAGATGTTATTTCTAACTGTACATAAATAAAATTCAACGCTAAGTCATGTAAAATGATTCGATTAAACAGTAATGCTACTGTCTTTGCAGCTGAAGCTCCTCAAGACCCGGTGAAAGTAGAAACGTTATTATTAAAAATTTGTCATAAAAAACGGAAGGATGTGAGTTCACCGATTATGCAGGTAAATATGATAATCTAACATTCTTTTCTTTTAATCAAAACAGAATTAGTATAGCCACTATTGCTGTAAAAATATTTTCTGCTTCAGGTTTCTGTAGGTACAAGCGAAGTTCCGATAAATCCCTGCGAGAACCAGCCTCCACCGAAAGCACCTACTATATCTATACCAAATGAATCCTTTAGTTTGAACAATGGTCATGTAGCAAAGACTTACATGCTTCTACTTAGAGTTTATTGTACATCCAGTACTGGCTGCCTTATGCATAACTGTGATTTAGACGGTTTGTAAAGCTGCATGGACTAAACTAGATTGAAAAGTATATTTCTTCTATGTGTATTTGCTTTTTGTTTTCAGAGCCAGCCCAGAAACGTCGTAAATCCTCCACTGGTTCAATTAAAACTGGAGGTGAAGAAGTAAAATTGTACGGTTCTGAGCTCATAGTGTATGATAAACATAATCGATGCTTATTGACAGATGGCGATTATGAATTAGGTTTACAAGAAGTACAAACCAATGTTCGATCTAGCCCAAAGAAGCACAGCTCTTGGGAGTCTGTACCTGACATCAAGGAATGCGGTCCTTTCGAAGTGTTTAGCAAAGGACCAACATTAAAATTTAGACTTAATTGGACAATGGAACCGAGCAATGGCTTGGTAGATAGGCCAACTCCGATACACCCAATTCCAAACGGTGATAACAAAGAGAACAGATCAGGGAATAGTAAGTGTTTAGAACTCTTATAAAGTTATTCAAATGAGAAAGATATATTTAATAATTTATTCATTAATTTTAGCTGGTCTCGAACGTTCTTCCACAAACAATAACAACAATAATACTAATAATAATAATCATAGCAATCACAATAATAACAATAACACACTGCCAACGCCTAGTCCCCTCAATTCTTCAAGGATCATCACATCTAATGAAAAGACAGATAATTCAATGGGTACACAACAAATAGTTTATCAATTTCTGTATAATAATAATAGTCGTCAACAAACTGAAGCCTGCGAAGATTTGCATTGTCCGTGGTGCTCTTTAGACTGTGGGAAACTTTATTCTCTTTTAAAACATTTAAAATTATGTCATTCACGATTCACATTTACATACGTGGTAAGTGCTTTTAAGGTGATATTATTTCTAAGAATCAAATGTTGTTAAACAAATCCTATTTACTTTATTAGCCGATTCCGCAAGGTGCTCGTATAGATGTAGCAATAAACGAATGCTATGATGGCTCGTACGCAGGTAGTCCTCATGAGTTGATTTCACAACCATCTAACGTGGCTTTCTCAAGAACAGGGCCAATGAGACGCACAAGTGTGACAAATATTTTAGTATGTCGCCCGAAACGAACAAAACCAAGTCTTTCAGAGTTTTTGGAGCTTGATGAGAATGAATATGAAAGCCAAAGACCGTACATCACTGGACACAATAGGTATAAAATTCAATTAAGATGCGCAAACGCTATTTCCCGTTTTGCGATTACGATACATTTTTATAAACAATTGTTGTAGGTTGTATCACCATACTGTTACATGTTTGCCTATATATCCAAAAGAAATGGATATCGATTCGGAAGGCGAAAATGATCCCAAATGGTTACAAACGAAAACGATGATGATGATCGATGACTTCACCGATGTTAATGAGGGTGAAAAAGAACTGATGAAAATGTGGAACTTACATGTAATGAAACACGGTTACGTAGGAGACTGCCAAATACCACTAGCTTGCCAAATGTTTTTAGAGACTAAAGGGAAAGAATTGCTCATGAAAAATTTATACCGCAACTTTGTTTTGCACATGTGCAGTTTGTTTGACTTTGGACTAATCAGTCCTGTGATCTTGTATCAAATGATCCAACGATTACAAGAGATCATGAAAGAAGGAGGCGAGAATAGTGACATACGAAAAGTTTTACAAAAATCCCACGAAGCTCAAGTTGACAAATGGATCAGCACTGGTTATCATGCGTCTTCGGATACTAATAAACAAAGTATTACAAGCACTAAAGTAAATTTTAATAACGACGGGGGAAGTTCTAACGCGAGACGAAAAACATCTTTACCGCTTGGATCACCAAATTCACAAAACGTAAAGACAACTGTATCTATTCATAATAATGTTAGTAAACACGCTAGCATGATAACTACGTCGTCGAACAAGGCTGTAAGTCATAATAATGCAATTCAAAATTCAGTTAATAAAAATACTGGGACATTCACCTCTGTACAAAGCAGCGCGAATAAAACTGCTTCTACAGCGTGCGTAACAAGTACTGTTAACAGTAAAACATCTTCAACTACTTCGATGTCCAATGGCGTGTCCAACCAAAATGAAACGGCACAAAGGCAAAACAGTGATATCCCGACACGGCGTAAAAGTACAAATTCGATTACTCAAGGTTTAGAAAACACAACGCCTTTACGCCGAAAATCAATGGCCAGTGAAAGTGCAACTACCGAATATCATAGAAGGAAATTGATTTTGGATACGATACCGAACACCAGCGGCGCTCATCAAAAACCGGCCCAAAATGGAAATAGTTATTAGTGAACATTATACATGTGTCACTATACTGATTGTACGTTTTTGTACAGTAGTTGTTGCAAAGATAATTCCCGAATAGAATGATTGATTAAGTTAATATACTTGATAATCACTGCTCTAGCCAGTAAAATAAATTTTTTATGAATTAGGAAGATTTAGCGTATGGAAAGAAAGAAGTGACATATTTCCAGATCAACAGAAATTTTAGTAATTTTAGTCATTCTGATTAAAATCTTGACATTACGTCAAAAAATTTGAATGCACTTCATTAAAAAGTTTCATCTCGTGAAAATATGATATACCCGTTCTTTTTTGGTCTAGTCAATGGCACTTTGTTTTTTAATTCTCTAAAACTATTTGCTTAACAATGTACAAAAACTTTATTGCTATATATATATATATATGTGTGTGTGTGTGTGTGTGTGTATGTGTGAGTGAGTGTGTCTGCTGTATATACATATACACACACATATATATATATATATATGTGTGTGTGCGAGATTTTTCAAGATTCGTTTAAATAACAATATGAGAAATGTGAAACAATACGAGATACGTGAACATAATGATAAAATAATATATTGAAGTTTATATATAATTGCTATTTGTGGAATAACTCGGGGGCACTGAATAAGTCTAGTAAATTCATAATTAGAAATGATAGATTATTCTTTTACATAGTAAAACGATCGTACCTTCTATGTAATATTAATTTAAATTATCAATTAGATTTATAGATGAATTTATTAATATCTAAGGTTGAACAAAATTGAAAAGCTATCACGCAATCTCTTTAATGATGGGACCTTGGATAATGGATTAATTCAAATATTTCTTGTAAACTCAATTTAATAAACCGAGGCTGTAAATTATAAGTTTTACCCAAAATAAGGAATAAGTAAATAGTTATACAGAAGTGCCTTTACAAAACCAGGGAATCTGAATACGAGAGTGACTATCGCTAAGTTATATCTCTTAAGTTGAGTTTATATACTCGTTTGTAATACATTAAATCTCATTATGATTTAGCAGAATAATTTATCGTCGATTGTCGTTCTCTCAGATGAACTTGTGGAGAAAAAATTTAGTACACATGTCACAATGAACTGTTCTTCGTGTAATGTACACAACTTTACTGCCGATGGTCGTTCGAAGAAACATTTTTCATGCCCGTTAGCGAGTACGTTTCGTTCCTTTGTAATTCAATTTTTTTTAACAAATTTGTTTTAAATTTTGCTTCAGCTCTCAGCGATTTATCGTTTACGGGGAAAATTTTGTTCTCTTCGCACGACTTTGATCACTGTCCATTAATATTATTACTTATGTTAGGTTGTAAATAAAAAAAAACAATAAACATATGGACATGATAAATCATACATATTTTTATTTGATATTGTTAACAAATTTTTCTTTAACTTCTTAGATGTAACAACTCAAAAAATTTTACTTTGTAAAAAATTCTATTATAGTTAGAAGTACTTTTATTAGCAAAATATCCAAACGTATAGCTCTTCCAAAATGAATCGAGTCAAAGAAAACTACACGTGCAACCATAAGATAAGAGAGTAGGAGAATCTATCAATCTTCTACCATCTGTTTAAAGAAAAAATAGTAGAGGCTCCCTCAATTTACATTTTATTATGTATGATGAATCGACTTTCCCAACTGATATTTCTCTTATCATATCTAATCATGTGTACTCCTTTTTTAAGTGTCAATTCATTATGGAAGACCTGTAATAATAATCACCATCCAGTTTTGACTGAATGTAGAATTTACATATGTACATATTTATATTTATATATAACATTTTATTTGTAATAA